GAGAGCACCAGTCGCCAACACGAGGCATCGAACAACGGTCGTCAATCTGACCCCGCAGTCAGCAAAGGACAAGGCAGCACTACGAACAACTTCATGCCGACAAATTCAATTTACGTGAAGTGGCAAACTTCTTGAGAAATGCAAATGACCAAATAAACACAAGAAGAAACAGATATTCTAAATAGCCCTCTATCTACTCGAGAAGTTGAATTTGTTATAAAAGAACATTCCCCAAACAAAAACTCCAGACTCAGATTGTTTTCCTGGTAAATCCCAGCAAACAGTCAAGACATAAACAACACCAATCTTACGCAGAGTTTTTCAGAAAACAGAGGAAGCAAGGTCACTATACAAGTCATCCTATGAGGCCCTAGTACCAAAACCTGAGACTACGAGAAAAGGAAATTATAAACCAATACCCTTCATGAATACAGATGCAAACAACTCGGAACAAAATACTATCCAGTTGGATCCAGCAGTCCAGAGAGGACCACACGTGAAGACCCAGGAGGGCTTCTGCAGAAACACGGGCCACATCAGCAGTCAGAACTCAGCCAGCGCACCTCACCACACCGACAGGCACGAGACAGAATTCAGTGCACCCTCGGGGCCAGGAAAATCAAATGCCCAGCAAGCCAGGGACAGACGGGCACCTGCACCCTCATAAAGGGCATCTGCAAAAGGCCACAGCTCATCACACTTAATGGAGAAAGACTGAACGGTCGCCCCTTGAGTCCGAGAAAAAGGCCAGATGGTCACCACTGCTGTGCACCACTGTCCTTTCAGAGACTGCAGTAAAGAAAAAAAAGAAAAAAGGATGAAGTGTATCTGTCCCTATTTACAGAAGAGATGTTTGATTCCACAGAAAATCCCAGGGAAATCTACAAAACGACAATTAATAACAAATGAACTGAGCAAGGTTGCAGGTTATTAGGTTAATATAAAAAAACAACTATTCTCATAACAGCAGCAAATAATTGAAAATTAAAATTTAAAATCCCATTTGTACCAAATACAAAAAGTACCTAGAAATAAGTGTAATAATAAACATTCAAGATCGCTACCTCACTACTTGCAAGGTACTGTTCTAAGTATTTTTCAGGGGTTAACTCATTTAGTCCTCACGGACACTGTGAGGAGAGTACTTTCATTACCCCCGCTCTACAGACGAGGAAACTGAGGTGAAGACAGGTGTGGAGACTTACCGCGTCGGAGCTACTGCGGGGGAGCAGAGGGTGGAGTGTGGACACAGCCGCCAGGGGAGCGTAAGCAGCTCGCGGGGCCACACAGGCACATCCACGGCTGGGCCCGCGGAGTCACGCGTGGTCCCCGCACTCCGGAATCCAGGGTTCCTGACACGGGTGGCACGACACCTGAGGAGCAGCCACACAGAGGGGGGTCAATGGCAAAGCCACCCGGAGCCCTGGACTCTGAATCTGCCTAACTTGGCGCAGTCCTTGTTTTTGCCCTTTCGGTTTGTCTGGAGACCGGCTGAGTGCCGCGGTGCTCCCTTGCCAGACACGCAAATTCAGCTGGGTTCCACGCTGCTGTTTGGTGCTATTTGCCTTCTAATAAGGATATCCTTATTTTGCGTGTCATTCAACCTTTACAGTAAAAAAGGAAACAATAAAAGCAAAACAAACTAACAAAAGCAAAGCAGACGATGCACAGATGATCACAGAAACACGCGAGCTGCCCACGGCACTGCAGGAGCGAGCGGCGACGGCTCTGCCACAGCGCTCGGCCCCCACGGGAGGCACGAAGGATGCCCACCTAGTCCTCGAGACGATGAGGGAATGGACAGCCTCCTACGCTGAAATCGGGGTTTCAAAGGGAGCTCTTCTTAAAGTCGATTTCTTGTAATCCAAATGGGTGTGCGTGCGGTGTAGCCGTACTGACCCCTGGTGTTTGCCGACCCTGTGTCTTGCCAGTAGACCTGTCCCCGGGTTTTTCTTAGCTCCAATGGCAAGCCTGTTCCTGTGATCTCGCCCTCACCTAGAAGAGCTCCTACAACAGAGCAGGTGCCCCAAATCTGGAATGAATAGCTGTCTGCTCAAGAACATTTTCAATAAAGATGCTGGGAGACTAGAGAGGAAAAGGGAGGAGAGACCACGTGGGAAAAGGGTGGGGCCACAGATTCTGCAGGGGTGGGAAGAGGGGTCAGCGCTGCCTCAGCAGGAGCATAAGGAATAGTCCCTGAGGTCAGTGTTAGGAAGAAAAAGCAAAATGACCTAAATTCTTTTTATTAAAGAGATAACCAAGCATGTTCCCTGATTCTCTTCACTGTCTGGCCTGGGGGCTGGGGAGCGGGGAAGGTGTTCATGACACTGATCCCTAATTGTGCTTCGTGGACCTCTTACCCTGTCCAGAGAGTGCACTGGTGCTGGCCTCGTCCCTGTATCCTGAGCCAGGAAAATGGGATGGGCAGGTTCACGGGAGGCAGAACAAGGCATGGCCTGGAGGTGTCTCCATTCAGATCTGGAGGTTGCCGATGGGAGGGGCATTTAGAAAGGGGCCCCAGCCGCAGCTCAGCTGCGGGGAGAGGCTGCCTCCTCTGATGGGCTCGTGATGCTGCCACTCTGCTCTTGGTCAAGCACCTCCTCCTCCTTCTGCTCCAATTTGAAGTTTTCGAGCTCTTGCTGGAGACCCATCCCTGAAGTCCTGGGAGTTATGTTTGTAAGACACAGCTAATCAAACTGCGACACTGAAGAGCTTCATAACATTGGTATCATCAGCAGCTGAGACACTGGGGCAAGGAGAACTTCCTGGCAAAATTAAAGCTTTCTGGGGTCACCTTTATGTCTCCATTGTTTTTACTGGCCACCGTGAAGCACGAAATCTTTGGCCTGAACTCCTGAAGCTCTGTATACCAGGTGCCCAGGTTCTCACAGGTGACTTTCCTCTGCACATCAAACACCATGACGCAGGCGTGGGCCTTGTGGTAGTAAGAGGCATGCATGTCCCAGAAGTCCACAAGGATGGTCTTGCCATCTATGGTGTCCGTGGGCTTGTATGGGTCAGGGCATACGTGGACAGCTGCTGTGGCTGAAATCCATCCACGAGAAATCTCGACAAGAGCATGGACTTGTCCACCGCCCTGTCCTCCAGGTAGATGATCTACATGTTGTCATCAGCATCCTACTTCTCTTGGTCCAGCTCATAGGGTTTGGTTCTGTCTCTCGTCATTGGCTCCTAGCTGTCGAGACGGGTCCAGCCCAGGGGAAGGGGGTCTTGTCAGTATGGTCCCAGGCAAGGGCTGGAGAGACCAGGGACGCTACAGGCTGACTGCCCATGGCCAGTGGCCCCTCGGGCCCCACTGCATCTCCTTAACAAGGATATCCTTATGCTGTCCAATACAGTAACCACTAGCCACATGCAATATTAAGTTTAAATTAACTAAAATTAAACAAAATGTAAAAACTCAGTTCCTCGGTCCCCCAGGCCACATTCTAAGTGCTCACAGCCCCATGTTTCCAATGGGTACCATATTGGACAGGACAGATTGGAACGTTTCCATCATCACAGAAAGTTCTACTGGACAGCGCTAGTCTATACACTGTGCCGTGGGAGCCCAGAAAAGTGAACTCAAACTCCTATAACAGCATCCATTTACTGAGCACAGCTTAGCAAGACAGTGGTGACAGCCCAGGGTCCGGAGTCGGACAGAGACTCTATCCTACATTACAGGATAGAGCTTTTAAAAATGCCTGGAAAGGCATTCAATAAAAAGGAAGGGCTCCACTTGAGACATTATTACTGTTGTTCTGTAAAATGTTAAGCTCAGTGTCTACTGGTCCACAGAAGTCATTTGCCAGGAACCACTTCTAAACCTTCTACGTACGGATTTTAAAATGCATTCCTTACGATAACCGTGAGGTCCCACTGCATGCTGGGGATCTTCCGCCTGCTCTTCCAGGCTGCTCTCTGTAAGGAGGTGAGACATTCACGTCCCTGCCCTCAGACCCCCAGGCTGAAGGTCCCACCTCCAGCCAGGAAGCCCTCTCCCGGGATTCCTTCTCCCGGTTCTGTAACAGCTCCCCCCTTATCCTGTGGAGTCCCGGGAGAGAAACACCTCCACTGCCACTAGCTCCAGGTGAAGCACCAACTCTGTGCTGTCCCTACCCTCTACCTGTGCAAACTGTCCCTTATAAACGCTCCTCGAATTATCCTAAACTGAGTACAGTGGCGGCTGAGTGTCAGGTTAAGTCACTTGCCCAAAGTCACACAGT